AACTAAGAAGGGATGGGGGGAATTACTGCTACTCCCCTACAACGTCCAGTCCTGAGAGGCTGGTACATGACTGCACTCCACCAACCGCTCACCACATCCTGATGAGGAGACCGAAGAGGTTCAACAGGCCTCCCTAATACGTGCTTCTTTAGCATGTGGGTTATTTTGAGCTGAAGGCAACCCTGAGGTCTCAGGAGAAACTTGTCCCTTAAGTACTTGGAAGAATTTAAATTAGGGGCCTCACTCATAATAAGACCTATCACTAGAGATAACTTTTTATGACCCACTTATATGACAAGGCAAACATCTAATTACTGAACATCTGCTCTTCTTAGTAACCTGAGAATTGCTCTCCTCCCCTCTGAAGCTTCTGACCTCTTTCTATATTCCTTAGCCTAGGAGGTTGCATATACCTCATTTTACCTTTCTGTCTCCGAACCTCTCATGTATGTGGGGGTCTATAACTGTCTCTATATGTGGGATTCCCATACATACATTTATAAATAAATTTGTATGTCCATCTGTCTTATGTAGATTTACATTATTAGACCAGCCAAAAGAACTGAAGGGTAGAGAAAAATTTAAATCTTCCAGCTAATCCAAGTGTATCCTGAGAAGCAAGAGGTTATGTTATACTGTTGTTTTAAGCCAGTAAATTTTGAGGTGGTTTGTTATATGGGAATAGATAATTCCAGCATGTAGGAATAGCTTTTGTTACATAGTTCTTAAGGCAGCTCTAAGCACACCTGTGGCCCTGTTTCTAATGCTTAAGGGGTCATTTTGCCTCCATATGTAGATTTTTAATTTTATATTAGGGGGAAGGAAATCACCTTAAATTCTTTCTGGGCCAAGGTGAAGTATAAGTACATACATGCACATGCATGACTGTGGTATCATGCTAAAAATGTCAACCCCTGCCTGCATCAACCCGCCTATGGAACCAGACATATCCCTCCAAGATGTGTGAGCTGATGTCACTTAAAATCTTTACAGTCCTGCCCTAACCAGTTTGGCTCAGTGGATAGAGCGTCGGCATGCGGACTGAAGAGTCCCAGGTTTGATTCTCCAAGGTACATGCCCTTGACCGGAATCAAACCTATGACCTTTCAGGCGCAGGCCGACGCTCTATCCACTGAGCCAAACCGGTTTCGGCAATAATCAATAAAACATATTTTTTAAAAAAATCTTTACAGTCCTGCTCTAGAACTGAGACAATTCATTTCTATTGTTGTAAGCCTCCCAAGTTGGGAGTTATTTTTAATGGCAGTTCTAGGGAACTAATACATAAGAAAAAGTGCCATGATATATTTTCTTACAATCAACACCTGCTTACATTATAAACAAAGACTTTACTTTAGAAAATACTTTTATATCCATGCTACATGATTACACACACATAATAGACTTATATACCACACATGCATGCTTATATGTTTTATCCACAAACATACAAATTTAATATTCTAATCTAGGAAGCAGCAAACCTTTTCTGTTAAGGAATATAAAATAAATATTTTAAGCTTTGTTGGCCACACAGGCACTGTTGCAACTACTCAAGTCTCCAGCTATAGGTCAAAAGTAGCCACAGGTGAAAAGTAAAAATGGATGTGGCTGTGTTATAATAAAATTTCATTTACAGAAATAGGTGGTGAGCTGAATTTGGCACATGGGCTATAGTTTGCTAACCCTTACTATAATCCTTTGAGAAAGGACATTCTATTTTTATTGGTTCAGAGATGAGGAAACTGAGGCTGAAAGTTAAAAATCCTGTGCCAAACTTACCTTGGCAAAAGCAATGTAAGGACATGTTAGAAGCAAAACAAAGACAGGCTAAATTTTATTAAGTCAAAAGAGAATTTCTATAAATGTAAAGAACGCAGAGGTGCATCAGAAAAGATTTAGAAAATTTCAATTAAACGTCAGGGCTACTGGTTGTTAGTGTCTGAAATAATCTATATGTAACACCACAGCAATAATGTAAATAGAGAAGAGAGACAATAGAAATTCAAGGGAATCAGTAAAAGCTTGATGCACATCTCAACACTTTTGTTGGTTTCCAGCTGAAGAAAGCATGAAAGGAATTTTTAAAAGTTCCTTGGAAACAGAAGAAAGAGTGAGCTGTGATATGGCACAAAACAAGCTGCTCCCTTTTCCAAGCTGTCACACCCTCTGCAAAGGACCTCTGTACATCACGTCACAATCTCTTATGGGACGGTCACATCCGCTCTAAAGGACCGCTCTACATCATGTCCGCTTAACACCGAGTGCTTTGTTGGATCCTAGTTTCTCTGAGCTCTCTAGTACTGTTCAATGGGGTGTCAAGGCATTCTGCTGTGACGACAAGTGAACATGAAATTTGCCAATATTAGTTGAAAGCTCACTCAGCATTCCTGAATGTATTTCCTATGTTGTTGTTTTTTAAAGGTACCTCTCATTTAGCTGGTTCAGGTGACTTTGATCAATGAGCACAGAAAACCCACCTACTGATAGGTTTTAGAACTCCTTAGCTGAAGGGATTAAATAACATTTTCTTCATGTAACCACAGCATGATGATGGTATCTCTCAGATCCTCTGAACTGATAGCTTTGGAACAAAAGGCATATGACTACTACTTGAGCTTTGAAAACTTCTAAGTAAAAAGAATTATTTCCCAGGATACAGCTTTTGTTGAGCATGGCCAAATCACTTTGGGATGATAGATCCTCATCTCATTTTCATAATGACCATAAATGCACACACAAGCAAAAATGAAGAATACAGAATTAACTGCACAAAGATAGTTGGAATAGGACATAAAGCTGCAAAGCGTCCCCACATTTAACTCTCTGCTGTCGTAAATGCCACAGCCAAATTGAGTTAAATGAGTTACTTAGTCACCAGTGACTATTTTCATTGTAGGATTGAAAAATCATAGAGAAAAGCTGGAAGAATTCTCACCCCAGGGTTACATGGGCTTTGATGCGAGTGTATGCCCAGGACAGAGGCATCTCTAAAACATCCTGTAACTGATTATCTCTCTCTCCTTCACCTTTCACAATTAGCTGCACACTATTAAGTTAATGCACATTTATCTACAACAATTTAATTCAGAGTGCAAAGAATCTTTCTAGTCTATAATTACACTGCAACAAAATTAGCATAATTTCCACCGCACATATTTTAATAAAGAAGCTGCATTATGGGTTGGCTCCCCATGTGGAACTCTTCCAGGGAACATCATAAGGAGAGACAAATGCCTCCTATTCGCGAATTGCCACAAATGCACGGAGATGTCTGAAGCCTTCTTCCCATGAATGCTGATTGGGGGGAGGGCATGCCTCTCAAGGAGGGGACCTGATGGCATCTCCCAAACCACCATCGTCCACTGGGGCACGAGCAGCAGAGGGCTCACCCTCCAGAATTACTGGGACGAGTGTGGCGGGGTGATGATGAGTGATCGGTCGATTGTGCTACGTGGGCTGGGGTTTGACCTCATCAGCCTGTAAATGTCTAGCCCAAGGTCTGGAATCACCTCTATAGTTTATTTTGGATCCGTATCCCCAGGGGATGGCCACCTGAGTGCCTCAACTAGCGGTCATCAGTTATTAACTGGCATCTAGATAAATGAGACCGTTAAGAGATTTTTAGTAACTTAAAAGACCCTAAGCAACTTGGTCTCCCCTCCAGAGCTCCTGCTCAGGAAACCAATTGACAAAAAAAAAAAAAAAAAAAAAGGGACCCCAACACCCACAATGCTGGAAGTTGACACATAATTAATGAAAGTTTGTTGAATTAGTTTATTCTTCATGGAATTAAATTGCTCCTACTGTATTTGCAGAGAAAGACTGGCTATTTTGGCTCATGTAGAATGTCACTGCTTTCCTGTGCCAGGTTTTAAAAAAAACTTTTTTTTAAAAAAAAAAAAAAAAAAAAAAAAAGGGAGCCACACTACTCATCTGGCACTGAAATGGCCACCACCGACAGTGTGATTTAATGGCACCGCACACATTTTGCAATGATTGTGAGTTTGTCCTGATAATAACCAAACTGTCTGAGTTAAAGGAAAATCTTCAGTTCCAGTAGCTCAATATATTTTACATGCGCACGTATCTACTCAAACGACTTCACCAAAAGGCGTTTGCCAATGTTTTCGGTGTTAACGTTTTCACGAAGCACTCCTGCTTCCTCGGAGCTTGCCACTAGAAAGGTGACAGTTTCGTACAAGGGATACGGAGGTGAGGCTTGAAGGGAGTGAGAAAACGTTGCTCTTGTGCAGAAAAGCCTAAAGTAAGAAAACTACCAAGGAAGCAGATGGGTCAAACCAACAATGGTGGAACCCAGGAAAACACTGAGTCTAATGAACAGTGCTGAGGGCAGAAGGTGTGACTCAGGGGCCTTGCATGCAGTGGGGGTTTTTACATGTCTGACATCATCTCATTTCTGGAAAATCCAAGTAGTTCCATGAGACACAGAACATGTGCTTGCTCTCTCTCAAATATTTCGACATTTCTTTTCCAGATGTACATTAGAAACGGAAGGCACGCTTCTAAACAAACCCTGAGTGAGCTTAGAGTCATTTCAGCAAGGTACCCATTTACTTTCTCGGTCACCAGAAGTCCAACTGAAAAATAACACAATGAATGTATGTAAGGCATCATCACACTATTTACACTCAGTGGGATCAAAGTTGTATAATGAAGGCTCATTCATGTTATCACAATCTGTATTTTTTGGTAGTCACTTTTCAACCATTAAATCTGTATTTATTTCACAATTGTGGATACGTTTCTTTTATTTTGAAATAGGATTTTCCTAGTGGTGAGCAATGTGCATTCAAAAAAAGCATGTTGTGTCCATACCTCACTTTCACTGGTCATACTTAACGCATAGTTCTATAATAGGGCCTATGAACTGACACGGAATTACATGTTTCATGTAAGAAGTCAGAGCTCTGGTCTCAACAAAGACTACATGTACACGAAGTTCACAATATACGTTTGGCATAAATGTAAATACTTACAAAAAAGGTGCCTCTTTTTGCAATTGCTGCCAGAGTTCCTCGCTAGACTTGCCCTTTGGAACCCTGCAGAATGATTTTACAGGAGTAAGCCCTCCCCCTCAGAACAGGCAGGACAGCATCAACATTCACATTCACATTCACATTACATCAGCCAGAGCAGAGCTGCTCGGAGCGTTACATGTCTACTTACGAGCTACAGAATACAAGAGTTATACTGGTGATTAAACATGATAAAATACGCAACCTTTAATTGCATGATATGGTAACCTTGGGAAGACTAATCCCATAACATTCAAAAGCTTCCACGTTTATAAACCATTGACATTCACAAACATTACACTTCACCACTTCTGAATTCCAAGACATAAACAAAATCTTCAGGATGAACTTACATGTAATTTGTATCTAAACCCTAAATTTCGAATCCGCTTTATGCTAATGTTGGAACTAACTCGAATTTGTTCCTGCTGGAAGAACTTCCCCAATGTGGAGCTGTTGTTATTTTCATGTGGCTCACAAACAAGAAGTGCCAGCATGGTAGGATTTTTTCTACATAATTTCTCAAGTTCTAACAAGCAACTCCTAATTCATGGATCCAGAGACCCACACCTGAAGTAATACATTTATATATAGTTTATACGCGTTGGCTAATAATGATTGGTGAAATACCATGCATAAGAACACTGTTGTATTTCCATAAGCCTATTCAAAGGAAAACAACACGGGGAAAATAATATAGCCACTGTTAATACTTGGACTGTGAGAATTCTCACACTTCTGCAGTGTAAGATTTCTGGCTGGGTTGATTTTTCTTTAACAAGGAGACAACAGATTATGTCATTTACATAAAAAATATAGAATCTCTGCTTGGACACATGGTGCCATTAGAAGCAGTATGAGAGAGGACCAAGCTCTTTTCTCCCATAGACTTACTAGTAGAGAACCAAGCTCTTTGGCTTCAGAATCAGAATGCTATCTACTGTCCCCCAGCCCCCTCCAAAAAAGGCTTCTCTCTGCCGCCCCTCCCCCCTTTCACACCGACACAACATAATCAGGCTGCCAAGAGTCCCTGTCCCAGGGCCCAGGGTTTAACATTGTACATCTAGGCTACATCTCTTAATTCTTCGGTTGGCATTATTGGACTACTGCAGCCCAATCCTTAGGCTTAATATCAGAAAGCTTAAAATAGCCCATAAGAAAGCTACAACAACCAGCAGATAGAAGAAGCTAACCAAATAATAGTGAGTTTGTGTAAATGCCATGTGGAACCAAACATTAAAATATTTACCTAAATTAAATTGTATGATGCATTTCCAGGAAGTAATCTACTAATTATTGTGAACTGGCATTTGGAAATAAAATGCCAACTATGTAGGAGAATAAAACAAACATGCTAATCATTGCTGTCACTATGACTTTAGCACTATTTTTCAAAAAATGTTAGCAATGAGTCACTATATGGAGTATTTACACTGCAACTCAGTTCATACACACCAAAGCACACACATAAATGTATGCATAATGGAATGGGGGGGGGAAGGTATCCTTATTAAGGTAGGTGTATTTTGATAGGTTATTTTCTGTTCCATTATAGTCTACTCTGTTCTATGCCATTAAATTATTTTCAAAACATGACCAATAAAAATATTTTACTACCCACTAATGAGTGACAATCAGCAGTTTAGGTATATACATATTAGTATGTGAGAGCTAGATAATTATACATACCCACTCATCACATATACAATATTGTACATATAAAATATTGTTTGACAATTTGGGTAATATTTATCTTTAAATACTTAGTTTTTTAGACCTAAGGAGAAAGCTTTCTTTTGTGATTTTAATTTTATTTAAATTCCTGGTTTACTCACTATTTTCCCCCTTTCATTCCTCCACACAGACATATGGTACAGTTTTCAGAGACACATGAAGATGATGAGAACAGTGATAGTAATAATACTGGCCACTTCCATTTAGACACTAGTCTCAATTCTCAGGTGGGCACCAACGGCCTTATGACATATTTTATACTCAAATAAAGAGGGAGCACCAGGTTCAGATGATCCATGGGGGAGAGATCATGTTGTCTCTTTGGGTATCTCATGGCATCTGCAATTCGGCTCCAACTACCAGGTGCATCCCTACCAAGGGCTGGCTGAGTGAGAAATGAAAGGCAGATTGAAATAAAAAGACAGAAAGACTTCACTCTGAGATACGAACCACCCCACTGAGTAGAAGGAGAAAAGTCTTTAGCAAAGAGTCAAATTGTGTAAAATACCATGCTGAAGCTGTTTGCAGAATGCAAACTAAAATATTATAAAATATTTTTCTCTACCACTATCATGTCTATTTCTAATAAAGATATGCAGTTATAATTTTTAAAATACCAATTCCTGAGACATAAACAGAGAAAGAGTTTAGATTATTTTGCACTCAAATTTGTGGATTAATTCAGATAACACTTACAGCAATGTGAGATCATTTTCCCAACCAATTTAATTAGGCCATTTTTTTTGTCTGATCATTCACTTTTTACCCATTCAATTTATTTTATACCCATCAATTATTACATGGTTTATTAACATCTAATAGCTGGAGATGATTGATAATATTGCTCCTCTGTCAGCATCTAGGACATTTTTTTTTTATTTTGTTATTCCGAAAAAGGTAAATATTTCTCAGTGTTTTGCATTCTACATCAAGACCCATAGTAAAAATATATCTTAGACTCACACATGCACACACATCCATACAAGTCAGATATCCCTTTTCCAAAACATAAAATCAAACTTTCTGTACCATAGAAAATGTAACTATTTCCCTCCTCCTCCCTCCCCTCCATATTCCATTTTACTGTATTTAATCTACTCTATTCTAGTCAACCTTTTTAAAATTCTGGCCAAACCCTTTAAATTGATTTTACTACTCATTCATGGTTGGTCCACAGCTGAAAAAGAAAACTGTGCTAATCCAATCAGGCCCCAGACCCCTGATTTTTTTTTAAATCCTTACCTGAGGATATGTTCTTATTGATTTTTTAAAGAGAGAGGAAGGGAGAGGGAGGGAGAGAAACAGCAACATGAGAAATATTCATCAGTTGTCTCTGGTACATGCCCCAACAGGGGATGGAACCTGCAACCTAGGCATGTGCTCTGACCAGGACACAAACCCAGGACCTTTCAGTGAACAGGATGACACTCTAAGGACAGAGCCACACCAGCCAGGGTGTGGATTTTTAAATTGTATCTATGAGACATTAGAATGCATCGATCTTATAAAAATATCATAGACATTGATTTTAATCAGACTAAAAGGGCTACCTTACTAAAACATATTTTGGCAAAGTATTACTTTCATATTTCAGAGAAGAATGCTAGCACTATACCCCTGAGAACATTTAAACAAATACCTTGTTAGAGCAGGGTCAGCCCCTGGGCCAAATCTGGCTCAGCTTCTGCTTTTGTGTGGCCCATGAGCTACAACCAGTTTTTACAGACGAACATTTACAATAGATTTGGTGCTAGGAAACACTAATTTTGAACTCCAATTAGGCAAAATGTTATCTCCCCACAGTAACCCTATCCTTATCAATAGATCTGTTTACAAAACATTATCATTATTAACATTTTATTATATTTTAGATTTCATTAATAATAATTTTGTGGAAGTTTGTTTCCTCTCCTATTACTTAACCATCAAAATAATATTCTTGACTTGCCTCTTGGTTTATGAAACTTAAAATGCCATCTAACCCTTTGCAGGAAGTTTGATGACCCATGCATTCATTAGAACATTAGTTTTTAATTAATGTAGACACATGTCGACCCAGACAGGGATCTGGCTGCAACCGTAACCACACTCTCGTGCCAGGTGGGCACACAGGTGATACATGCACCAAGCATATGACGGACTACATGCAGGAGCCCCCTCCTGTGCTCCAGGTGCAAAATTGTCCCCTTGGTTCCAGGGAAAACTGTTTCTCTGAGGAGCAGGTCCTCCTTTAGCCAAGAATCTCAGATGTCTTAGTTATAAATAACTTTGCTTTTGGTTTATTAAGAGCCATAAGCTCAAAGGAAAATTGGGCTTTTGGTTCAATGAAATTGCTTTTCACTTAATTCCCACGATGTCATGGAAAGGTGCACAGAGCTGCAATGGGAGACATTCTACTTAATAAGCATCTCAGTAAAATGCAAGTGGTTCCTGTCTTCCTTGCAACGGCAACTGCATTCTGAATAACTGCCACTTATGGGCCCAGATAAATGGTGTTATTGAGCAGCCTCATGCTCATTATGTTTAAGAAATTCTAATTTGTTTTTGGGTTGACATGAAGCAGCATGGTACAGTTCCCTCTGTGTATATTTTGCAATAGAAAAAAAAATTGTAGTCTATCCTAATACACAGTTAGTCGCCCTAAAAAGATGTTTTGCTCTATGGAGTATTAAGATTTTAAAATTTAGCACTGGAAAAGCACACTTCGAATGAACACATAGATTTTCGAGGGAATAGTTACATGGTTGCTGCTTTTAATTTTTACCGTGTTTTACACCTTGCCTGCTCCTGCTTCATTCTCCTCCTCTCTCCCACCCCATCAATACTTCTCTTTGAACACATTTAACAAAAAGCCTTAAACAACAACCTCCATCAATAGTCACCACTGGTTCTCATGTTAGCTAGGAAGTGAGCCAAGGTAGAGTTCACTGGTCTAATCACTGATGGTGCTACCTGTCCTACAGGCAATATTTTACAACTTAATGCAAATCTTAATGTGCGCATGATGCATATTAATCCACGCCTTGTTCTTAAAACCTTTGGGTTTCCATACATATGGCAATTTGGGCCCTTATTAAATTTTTGTTGGTTATATGTCTGTTTTACGAATAATAGTAACATTTCTTATGAAACTACCATCTTATTAAGTTCTCATTTCGCAGTGAGGCTCATCAGAATAAATGTTAGACAAGCCCAAGGTAGGAAAATAAATGCTCAATATCAAATTAAAAACACAGTTTGGAGGGTAATTAGAAAACAAACATGCAGAGACAAATTAAAAAACTTCCACA